AGGAGAAAAGGAAGGAGGGGAAGGAAGAGGAGGAGAAGAAGGGGAGGGGGAAGGAAAAGGAAAAGAAGGAGGAGGAGAGAATTGCGAGAGTGGTAAGTGTTATGAAGGAGAAAGGTAGGATGACAAACTTTCTATGCATGAAAATCAAAGAAAGCATCTTGAAAAGCTTACATTTGCAAAGAAAAGGGTGAAAAGACAAAAGGATAACAAAGGAGGAAGCAACAATGCTTGATAAGAAATGTACTAATTATCTGTAATTGTAACCCCTCTGTATGGTATTTTCACACACACACACACAAAAGACAAAGGGAGGAGGTAGAGGAAAAGGGACAGAGCATACTCGGATGTATTTTGGAGACAGAAAGAAGAGCATGCGTGAATATGGCAGAAAAACTTAATGGAGAGAAATAGAAGACAGTGAAGAAAGACATAGGTGCAATTTAGGCACACAAGCCAGATTATCTAGCATCTAGTAGGCCAGAAAAAGATCTTGGATGTTATCCTGAGGTCAATGAAAACCAACTAAAGAATTCTGAATAGGGAACAAAATAATCAGGGTGCGCGTGTGTGTGTGTGTGTGTTTGTGTGTGTGTGTGTGTGTGTGTGTGTAAGAGAGAGAGACAGAGAGAGTCAGAGACAGAGAGACAGAGAGACAGAGACTTGTGTGTGTGTTTTTGAGTATACGCCAGCACTGTTCCATAGCCTTTTTGCGCAAGGATGGCACTCTACCACTTGAGCCATAATCCCATCTCTGGCTTTTTCTCCTTTCCTTTTCTGGCTTTTTTATAAATTGGGGTAAGAGTCTCATGGACTTTCCTGCCTGGGCTGGCTTTGAACCTCAATTCTCAGGTCTCAATCTCCTGAGTATATTGGATTATAGGTATGAGCCACTGGTGCCTAATGATCTGACTTTTCAAAGGTCAAATATGCTAGGAAAGAGTAACCTATTGGTCTATCCTGTGTTCTTTGGGTGGGCTTGTTTGATTGCATTTTGTCAGGGATGAGACCCCGGATCATACAGGGACATAGAAAGGCTACAAGATTGCAAAAGATAAACTCAGAATATAGGCTAGTTAGACTTCATTTGGACTTGGTCTGGCTCTGAGATCAGCTGGTGTGTGTACATGGACTTATACATAAAAGTGCATGGAGGGGCAGAGGGAATAATTCAAGTGGTAGATTTGTCTAGCAAGCTTGATGCCCTGGGTTCAATCCCCAGCATTGCTATCAATCAACCAACTTTTTTTTCAAATGGGTAGATTTATACAGTAAAAGTGTCTGGATGTATTCATGGCATGTACATAATTGTATAACACGAGAAGCTAGCATGATGAGGATCATAGGTGCTACAATTAGTCTAAGTTGGATTCAGATAACAACCATGAAGTTACAACACTTATTTTGTGAAGCTGTTAGGAGGTTTCAATGAGATAATCCAATTAAAGTTTTTATACTGGCCTGCAGCGTACAGTCCATGCTGCCTAAATGTTTTGTTAATACAATTGTGGCTACATGCATCCTGGGTAAGTGTATGTCTGCATGTAGGTGCTCATGTGGGTGTGTCAGAGAGGTGGAATGTGTTTAAGAACAAGAGAGGGAAGAGCAATGCCACGGCTACAGTTGAAGGTGAAGCACTGGAGTGGTTCTTTCCAGGGGGAGCAAGGGGACTGCTGGGCAGCCACAGAGAAGACACAGCCTTACTCAGTGGGAAAACAAGTGAGAGATTGCAAAGAGCCTCAAATTACAAGACAATCCCCTATGGGAACAGAATCAAGAGTGGAAATTAAGCCAGGTGTCTGTGGCTCATGCCAGGAATTGTAGCTAAAAAGTAGGAGGCTAAGATCTGGAGGAGGGAGGTTCAAGGCCACTCTAGGCTAAAAGGTCTTCAAGGCTCCATCTCCAATCAATAAGCCAGCAAAATGCTGAACTAGAGGTATAGCCAAGTAAGAATGCCAAGTTAGCAAGGCCCCTGAGTTCAAACTCCAGTTTGAGATTCAAAAGCAGTATTTGAAAGTAAAATGTTTGAAAGTAAAGACTCAGAATTCAGAAAACAGTATTTTCACTTGTTCTTCTTGATGCTTCCCTTGTTTTGAGCTTCATGCCTGTTTGAGTTTTCAGAACTGACTTGGAAGAAACGAGATAAACCTATACACCACCACCCATGTCTTCAGGATTCTTGGTCCCTTCTGAAGATTCCCACAGAGTTCTAAGTGTTTTCCATAGAATAAAGAATTATTTTCCTGCTGTAAAACAGAGCACATAATTTTTTTTTAAGTCTCAGTTTTGGTTTCTAGCCCCAGTTCTGTCCCCAACTAACTCACCAGGGAACTTCAGGAAATCTTTTGATCTCTCCAGAGACTTTTGTCTCACTTGGAAGAGAACTTAGTTGATCAGTGTCGGTCATTATGTTTTGACTTCCTGCCATTCTAGGCAAGGCTGAGCTCCCTTGACCTGGCCCTTCTTTTAAAGTGATATCACTCTCATAGTGGTTCAGAGCACAGAATTCTTCCACCCATGGCCCCTTCCACCTATGATTTATTCCTCTCTGACTCAATTTTCTCCCGGTACAGTGCATCCTAGGATTAAGGAAAGGGTTAAGCAGGTTAATATAGGTAAGGTATTTAGAACAATACTTGACATGGATAAGAGATAACCTAGTGTTGGGTAATATTATTATTATTTACTTACTCAATTGGATTCCTTTGTGACCTTACGTAAGATGTGTTATGGATAAACACTGGAAACATAGGTATCATTTGCAGATGAGAAATGATTAGAGAAGGTATCAGGCAAGAGAACTGAGACTATTGATTTCCCATTTATAAAAGTTCCCTCTAGAGGCTGTCTATGGTGGTGTATGCCTATAACCATGGCTACTTGGGTGGTAAGGATCAAGAGGACTGCAATTCAAGGCCAGACAATGCAAAACTATAGTGAGACATTTCAATACAATTTTCCGTTTGGTGTACAGATCTGCAGTCCCAGCTGCACAGAAGGTAGATAGGAGGATCTAGGTCCAAGCAAAACACAAAACCCTACTTGAAAAATAATGAAAATAACAAAAGCAAAAAGAACTGGGAGTATAGTTCATGTGGCAGAGCACTTGCCTAGCAATACAAATTCCGAATCCACTACCACCACTACCACCACCACCACCATGACGCACGTGCACACACACACACACACACAAACACATTCTGAAGAATGTATATGTACATAAAACTATTTATGATTAGCATTATTATTGTTTAAATAAATGGAGTCAAGACATGACTGAAGTCCTTCTCATCTCCAAGTTCAGGAACTGAGAATGGTTTGAAGGAGCAGTATTTTCCACGTGGCTGGCTTACCATTACTAAGTTTGACTTCAGAAAACACTTAGGAAAAAAATCTTAAATAAACAATCACATTGGCGTGTTTACAGATGAGCAGGTTACAACTTCTTGTGCAGGAAAGAAACATGGAAATATAAACATTGTCATTACTTGGGCATCTTGGCTTTGTATTTTCCTCTGACAGTCTTTTCCCCAGAACTTGGCTCAGGAAGCCTAAAGGAAAGATCCAAAGGGAGCCCAGAAGTCCAGGGAGAGTGTGCCAGCCAGGCAGGCAGGCGGCAGTAGCAGCCTAGCAACGAAAGCGTTAACAGGGCTGGGTAAGGCGATCCTTTCAAATGAGTAGGTCTCGGAGTTGTGGAAGTTTTCAAAGCAGTAGCAGCAGCAATTGGGGAGAAGACCAGATGGAGGCCCGGAGACCTAGGCTCCGCAGGGGTTCAGGCACCAGGTCAGTGGTCCCGCACACCTACCCTGCCAGCCCCGTGCTGCACTGCGCTGCTGCGCGCTAACTTTGGAAAGGAGACTTGGAAAGGTGAGACGCCATCTCTCTGCCCCTGTGTCATGTCTAGCCTGCTAGCTGTGGGGCCATGGCTCCTCCTGCCAAACCTCGCTGGCGTCCACCCAAGCCTTGGCGCTTGCGAGGGACAGCTGACTTCTTCCCAGGAGACTTTTCTAGACTGGAGACTTCCTTTCCGACATTTCAAAAGGAACTGTTTCTGAAACGGAGGATTATTTTTCAGACCACACACAGGCGCCCCTGCCTACCTGCTGCTTCCTCTTAAGTTTTTATAGGTTATAACCACAATCCAGAATTCCTACCTGCTTCAGGTGAAACTGAGAGTAATTGTCGAAGTTACTCAACCAGGGTAGGGGGAGGTGGGAGAGGGGGAAGGGAGGGAGAGGAGAAATAAAGAAAAGGAAATGAAGCTTCCCAGTACCCTGGCTTATAACTTAAGGCAAAACAACTTTTGAAAATAGTTTTTGTGTAGGAGTTTTTCTTGCTTATTGCTAGAACCAAAAAAAAAAGTGGAGAAAGGCATATTCTGGAGGAAATAATTTTATATCTGCATGAGTCAGATCAACTTACCTACTTGAACTTATCTGCCTATGATGCAAAGAATAATAGACTTAAATAGAGCAGGGGCAAGGGGGCGTAGAAAGGTAATGTCACAGAAATTACATTCTGCAGGTGGGAAGGAGAGGGTTTTACTTGGAGAGTTGTGCCTGACTGTCCTCTCCAGGCAGGAGTAGGAGCCCCCTCCAAGTCCTGTAGATACAGAGGAGAATTGCTGCCTCTCTCTTCCTTGCCCTGGTAGGACAGAAAGAGGCAGTGACCAGTCCTGTCCAGAGCTCCTTCTGATTCCTGCAACATGCAGCAAGCCTGAGGTGAGCCTTATACCTGCTAGACTGAATCAGAGAATCAGAATGAGTCATTTGCAGCTCCATTCCAGAACAAAGTACTTTGCAAAATGCCTTATGAGACACTGCCTCCTTGTAGGTGGGACATAACCTCCCAGAGCAGTCACATTTTTTCCCCCTTCTCTTCCTCTCTCCAAACAGGCAGGCATTCTGAGGCTCTGGAGAGACCCAGCTCTGGCCCCTGGGCTCAGTTTGCCCCTACCATGTGGACCCTGCTCCTTCAGGTCAGGACTGGAGTTTTAAAATAAAATGGATGATTTGACGTTACTTGATCTTCTGGAGTGCCCTGTGTGTTTTGAAAAGCTCGACGTCACAGCCAAAGTCCTCCCTTGCCAGCATACTTTCTGCAAACCATGTCTACAGAGGATTTTCAAAGCCCACAAGGAACTGAGGTGTCCCGAATGCAGGACCCTGGTGATTGGCAGTATCGAGGCACTGCCAGCCAACCTGCTGCTGGTGCGTCTCCTGGATGGAGTGCGTTCAGGACAGAGCTCAGGGCGAGGAGGCTCCTTCCGCAGGCCTGGCGTGCTGACTGCACAGGAGAGCAGGAAAAGCAGGAGCAGCCCTAGAAGTCTGCAGGTCAGTCCTTTCCGGCTAGTGCCCAGCATCAGGATCCACATGGATGGGGTAAGAAAGATCTTGCTTGTTAATATCCTGTGTACTCGTTTGTATGTGTATTTCCTGGGGGTTAGGGGTAGTGTGTTCTGAGTTACATGTACAGTGCTGCCAAGGGCTCCTCGGAGATAAGTTTCCTGAGCAGTGATCACTTTCCTAAGACACGCTGAATCCTAAGCCTATCTATCCCATCCATCTGACACTTCCCCTTAGAACTTCTAAAGGCTTCCTAGGTTCTCCTGACTTCTTGTCCAGAGAATAGCCTGTTTGGGGTATTTGTTTTGATCTTCCACTCCTGTTGCTCTAAGGCCAAAGCAGTGCCTGGAAAAATGCCCAGAGGGTGAGAAAAAGAAAACAAAATCTGACTGGTTTGCTTTTGAGATCTCTGAGAAGTTCTCCCCCATCTCCTCCCCCGCCCCCGCCAAAAATGTCACGCATTGTTTGAATTTTATCCAGATCAGTCTTTCCATGCATCGTTATAAAGCACTATTATGACAATGCTTGTTCATAATCTGTTCAAAGCTCTCAAGATACCTGGCGCCCAAGAGCTGCAGGAGGGAACTGTCTGTGTGGGTGGACTGATTGATGATGGCAAGGCCATGAAACACAGCAGATGTGTAAAGAGCCCTGCCGATTCGTAGTTACCAAAGGGATAAAATAGACCAAAGCAATAGACATGTCAGAGGCTGCAATCAAATGAGTCAATTAATTAATTAAGACAAGCAAATGAACAGACCCAGTGAAACCTCACAGATCACCCAAAAGGCTGTTTGTGCCTGATATTAATGGGAATCTACTAGCTGGTTCCTGAAAGGGCTCTCTGAGGGCTTTTCCTATGGGATGTTATGGAGGGACTAACTCTAGAGAAGAATCTTGTCTTTGCAAGTCCAGCAGGATTATTTGTACTGTGACTCCTAGAGCCAGGATTGATACAGTTGCCACCAAAAGCTGTAGCTTGGATTGTTGGCATACCTCAAAAACCAGAGCTGCATACTTTGAAGACGTGCCTAAAGCAAGCTTTAATTCCACCATCAGGGTCAAACAGATCTGCTTTGAAGCAGTGCAGGGTGTTTTTTAACATTAAAAAAAATTTATTGTAAAGATACTATACAGAGGGGTTACAGTTACATGAGTAAGGTAATGAGTACATTTCCTATCAAGCATTGTTACCCCTCCTTTGTTTTTCCCTTACTATCCTCCCCTCCCAATCTCCCCAACTTCTCCTGCCCACCCCTGAAGTTGGAAAGTTTGTTTTCAGCATAGTGCTTTGTACATCTCATTGTTACAATGGGTCAACCTGTATCCTTGTTTCAGCATTTTCTTATTTTCCTTCCCCTCCCCAAATTAGAAAAATGAATATACAAGATGCAAGGCACCAGAATCAAATACAGTGACAACAGGGGTTATACCATGGGGGAAAAACATACAAAAGAAACAAAAAATTGCATAGTACATTAAAAACAACAGCAACAAAGGAAAAAACCTCTTGTGTCCATATCTTGGGGTCCATTTCACATAGCATCATCTTATATGGTCATATGTACATAGCTTTTGACCTTTTCTGCTTGTGTAGTAAGATTATCCTAGACATATACTAGTTATTGCAAATAAGGGAAACCATGAAGGGAACCTTACTGCATTGTTGGTGGGAGTATAAAATTGTATAACCATGCTTGAAAGCTGTATGGGGTTTCCTCAAAAGACTACACACAGAGCTCCCCTATGACCCAGCAATCCCACTTCTGGGCACTTATCCAAACGATCACAAACAAGGCCATACTAAAGTTACCAGAACAACTACGTTTATCACAGCATTATTCACCATAGCTAAGATATGGAACCAACCCAGATGGCCTTCAGTAGATGGATAGATCAAGAAAATGTGATACACACACACACACACACACACACACACACACACACACAAAACGGAATCCTATGCCTCCATCAGAAAGAATGACACTGCCCCATTTGTTAGGAAATGGAAAGACTTGGAAAAAATTATATTAAGTGAAGTAAGCCAGGCCCAAAATGTAATGGTTTTGTAAGACTCTCCTCACACAGGAGGAAAGATTTGTGTGCATTTGGAAGTTGTCTCAAGTTTTCTTTCTAGTTGCTCAACCCTCCTTGGATTCACCGCATCTCTACACCAGCCATTGGGTAGGGATAGGTATAAATACTCAAAAATAGGTGTCAAAGGACGATGGTGTGATTTCTTTTCTCACTGTAAATGTTTGTATTGTTGTTGTTCTATGTGAAAGACTACATTCCAGAACAGGACTGGGCACTCAAACTTCTTGAGGTCTCTCCATTAGTCTAGATGTAGACTTCCATCAGAATCTCCAAGACCTACAAAGATAGAGTGGGGTTAGGAGGCAAGCTTTTCACAAACATTCCTCCAGAGTTAGGAAATACCCCTTGAATTATTGTTTTTTTTTCTTTTTTTAATGAACGGGGGGGGCGGGTGTTACAGTTACATAAGTAAGGTAATGAATATGCTCCTTTTAAAACACCATTACCCCCTCCCTCAGTTTCTCCTGTTTACCACTCCCTACTCCTTTCCCCTCCCAAGTTTTAAAGTTCATTTCCAACATAGTGTTTATGAGTATCATTGTTGCATTAGTTCATGCTTTGTCCTGCTCTTTCTGTGATTCCCTTTCCCTTCCATGAATCAGATAAGCTTATATTCAAGCCAAAGGGTACAGAAAACTAAAACAGATATAAAAATTAGAAATAACTGCATATAGGACATAATAAGAACCTCATTTCCAATTCTTGGAGTTCATGTTGATACGCTTCATTATATATATGGTCCCATCCACTTAGCAATTGGGCTATTGTGATCCACTGCTAGGAGTATCATAGACATATTCCAGTTAATCCAAAGAGGGAAATCATGAGATCTCTATTTCTCCCCTTGAATTCTTCAGTTCCAACAACCTCTATCCACTGGAGCTTTGCAAAAGTCTGACTTCCCTGTCAGGATTATTGTCATCATTCACTAAGGAACTGTTGCCAGCTTGAATGTACTTTTGTTCTGATTTGTATCTTTCCACGTGGCTATGTTGCTAAGACAAGTGGATCTGCAGCTAGTAAGTTTTTAAGCCATAGATTTGCAGGGTCCCCCCTGGCATGGGATTGGGAGCTGGTCATGTAAGAGAAAGCCATTAAGACAAGAGGAGTCCCTGGAACTCTCCTTCAGGGCCTGGAAACATCATGCAAAGGTACCTATCTTCTAAACTGCCCTGGACAGAAGCAGGTCGTGAGGCTGAAAGACAGAAGCAAACATCAAAGGGCTTCTGCTTTTAGGCAGAGCCTGGTTAGTAAAGATGCTCACTACAAGGGAGGAGCTGACAACACCACCACTCCATTTCCTGCAATTCCTGAGCTACCCTTTCTTGGTGTGCTCATCGCCTTCCTTTTGCCTCTCTCCATGGAAATATGAACAAGACCATCCTTGGATGTAAAGATGGTGTCAATGTGCAACCTGGTGCTTCTGCCCTAAAATGTAACTGTCTTTCCTGTAAATGTGAAAGACGCCATGTACCCTTCAGTTAAAGGAAGCAAGAATGGTCTGAATGCTCTGTCATTCTGTTCTGAACATCAGAAGTGTGGACTTAGAACCTCAGTGAAATCCTCCTGAGTTACTCGTCCTCTCTGCCTCTGTTCATTCAAACTTGCCAACAGCAAGGAATACTTGCTGCCTTACCTCTCCTCTTCCTCTAGGAGAGTGTGGAAATGATCTTGGCAACAGACTCTATCGCCTTAGAAAACTTCTGCCAGGCATATGCAAAGCATCACCATTATCATCCGTTTAAACTTGCCCCCTCCTGACTTTGGACAAGCCACTTAGAGTTGACTGGGTCTCAATTTAAAATTCTGTAAAATGGGAAAATATCTTGTGAAAACAGAAAGCCAGTGTAAAGCTTAACTAATTAGTGTTTGCAAAGCACTTTGAGAGGTTTAGATGAAAGGCATTTGGAAGATCATTATCATAGTAAACATTACTATTGACTGTTCGTTGTGCCTGGCCAAGCATGAGACATTCTATAGAACACAGAAGAGTTATAGCCCTTCTAGGAGAACAGAATAAGTATTATTATCAAGTTAAACTCCAGCCTATGGGGAATCCTGGTCAGGATAACACTAAGTATAAAGTACTCTCCTGAGAGGGCACAAATAACCTGTTGTCACAGGGTACCCATTTTGCAAAACACCTCTTCCAGAAGACTCGCTGATAACCCAGTACTCTGAAAGAGTTCATTTAACTTCCTACCCTTGAGCTTTTTCAGCCCAAAGTCTGTTCTGCTCACCTACCTTGGCTCGTTTGTAAAACAAGCTCATCCAGATCTTTTTGTTGGCTCAAGAAAGCCTGATGCATTTGTGCCAGCCAGGGTGCCAGGGTGGAACCAATAGTTACACCTCATGGTGCCAGCCCAAGAGAGAGAGAGAGAAAAATTAGCCCATTGTGCCTACACATCTAAATCTCTCCCAAGCGGATTGTGTAAAATGAAAACTTGAGAAATGGTGGCAGGTTTTTACAGCATGCAATTATTTCAAGCCAACAGGGAAGCTCCGTAAACTCTGGTGGGCCCCTGGTAATGCAAATCACAGTGTTTCCACACCCCCTCCCCTTTTTATTGTCAGAGGGGTTATAGTTACATAAGTCAGGTAACAAGTAGGGTTCTTGTCAAACTTGTTACCCCTTCCCTCCATTTTCTCCTACTTTCCCTCCCCCCACCCCTCCCTCCAAGCTGTACAGATCATTTCCAACATCATGTCTTGTGTAAATCACTGTTACATTGGTTCCCCGCTTGTCCTGTGTCTGTCTCTCCATTCTGTTGTTCCCCTTCCCTTCCTTTTTCCCCACACTGCCCTCCAGCTAAAGGAACTCTGCTGGCCTTCAAACAGATTAGGAGTTCCTCATGAAGGCCTAATCTCTTTTCCTTCTCACTCTGTTACCCTTTTATTTCTGCATTCGAATAGGCCATAAAAGCAGGGAAGTGGAGAAT